CTTTTATTCCTTAATATGAAGATAGAGAAAGAGAGACTTTTGAATGGTAATCTACAAAAGTGACTTTAAAAAACAATTAAACAAAGAAGGGAAATTGAAGCATGATATTCACGATTTTTAAAATCGGTACAGTGAAAAGAAAAAAGTGTGATTGATAAAACAAAAAAATTGTGAGAACTGAGAAACCTATTAAAGGTTTTACGGTCTAAACCCCAATCACCTCCAAAATTTTGTGTTTTTGCTTGTTTTTGCGGGTACTTCATGAATAGGTTTAGCCATCAAAATTGGTGTGAACGTGTTTAAAACCATGAAAATTTTATGAAAATTCGTACTCTGTATAAATTTTGATTTCTTAAGAATGTTAATCGTGTGACAATATTTTGAATTTTGGTCAACTGTCATCAAAATAACAGCAAACATCTCTTTGACACACATATATCTGAGTGTTTTCAAATATGTTATTCTTCTAATATGATTAGATAAATATGCAAACATATCATCACACCATATAATTGTCGAAAATGAATATGATTCTCTTTCAAAACCTTTTGTATATAAGCATGTCCCTCTTTTGTAAGTTATCGTCGAATTAGATGTGAAATTTGATTTTCCGATGCAAAATATCCCATAAGCGTCAATAACATAATGTTTACATCTGAATCATCTTCTCTATGAAAAAATCTTTTATTATATTAATTTACGATGCCAATATTGTAATTAGATTTTTTTTTTTTACAGAAAACTGAATTGTTTGAGTATCTTAAAAGGGATAAAGAGGGAGATATAAATATTTTAAAAAAGAAAAAGAAAAACGATGGGTCATGTCATTGAGATGTGTGGGGGTGGGGAGGTGGGGGGAGGGTGATTTGTCGAGATTTAAACAGTGCAGGCCGTTATTTGAACATAAATTCTAAAAATTCATTGTAATTGTTATTTAAAAGGTATCTTTTCGTAGATTTTAAAAAAAAAACATTGTAGTCAGAGAAAAAAAAATCACAAACCCGAATATATACGAATCTTTCATCTAACAATATATATACTCCATATGTTAGCTAAACTAATTATGTAATAAATTGTCAAATATTTAAGATCTTAATTATAAATTTTCTTAGGTCCGTAATTGATAATCATTTCCGATAATATAGTTGACCGTTATTTAGTATATAATTGACCGAGGATAACCATTGTTTTGACTTGGAGTTAATTTCATTTCGGATTAGCAAAACAAAAGGAGTAGAAGAACATTGGATTTGGAGTTTTTTTGTTAGTTTTTTTTTTGGGTCAAAATCATGATTTTATTAATAACTATGTCGAAACCGTCGACAAACTACAAACCAAAATAGCTCGTTTTGATAACGAATCCGCCAACATATTGGCTTCTCGTGGAACATAGGTAAAGGAAAGCTTTCGAAAATACGAAGCTAACATATTAATCTCAAACAAAAGACTATGAATTTCCATATGTGATTCCTTCTTGCGAAGTAGATTAATTAAAATCTGAGAATCGGAGCATACCAGTAAGTCTAAGTGACCTTTGTCTTTTGCCATTTGAAGGGCTTTGATCACAGCCCATGCTTCCGTTGCCAAAGCAGATTGTACATTTGGTAAATGACACAAATGTTCTTCTTGTTGCATTCCCGTAGCTGGACGGAACCACCATCCTAGTCAGCGTTTCTTTGTCCCAAGCCGCATCGGAATGGCATATGATTCCAGAGAGTGGTTCCTCTATTTGTACCGGAAGGTCCGGTAAACTCCTCATTGGTAAGGCTTCTTGGGCCGTTTGCCAATCCTTAGCTTCACGGATGGATTTTGCAATCACTTCATCTGCCGTATAAGCTACATTCTCAAAGATTAACTTATTGCGAGAAGTCCAAATATTCCAGCATATCCAAGAGGAAAGAGATGCAAGTGTAACCCACAAGGGGGCAGTACCAGAGCTTTACGAGTCTCTGTAAAAAAATCCAATACAGAACCAATGATAGGCCAGTTTACGGGTGATATCGGGGCCAAGGACCAGACTGTTTTTGCCCAGCTACAATGGTATAACACATGTGCCACTGATCCGGGTCCTCCACACCGTCTACAAGCAATAACATCACCCACTGCTCTCTTTTGTAATTGGACTCCAACAGGTAGAGCATCAACTGATGCCTTCCAAAGAAAAGTCTTAATTTTTGGTTGTGTTTTTCTGCGCCATAAATTCCTTTGTCAATCAAAACACTGAAACAGAGGAGTAGAGGACTCTTTTGCTTTTACACCATATCCACTTTTCGTCGTATACACACCGTTCTTTGTTGGCAACCAAACTAGTGAATCTGTATGTTTAGTATAACCCAGAACCAGGGATCGTATATGCTCTTCATAGGTAGGTAGGCATTTTCTAATGAGCTCCCAGTTCCACCTGAGCCCGAGGGGGAAAGAAGGTCTGAGACCTTAAGGTTGATGTATTGTTGTGGTGGTGGTCCATACGGAATCAA